GTAGATGATTGGATGGATAGATGGTGGATGGATGAGTGGATGGAGAGACGGGTGGACAGATGATTGAGTTGAGAGGAGGAGTAGATGGTTGACTGAAGGGGTAAATAGGTGGATGGGTGGATGAGTGGGTATGGAGATAGATGGATAGATGCATGGAGGGATGACAGAGCTGAAGAGTAGACATGGATAGATGATTGGTTGAGTAGGTGGTGGGGTTGGTGGAAAGATGGTTGGATGAGTTGCTAAAGAAGTAGGTGATCACTTGGGTAGGTAGATGAATAGATTTTTTTAAGTGGATGGATGGATGGATGGATGGATGGATGGATGGATGGATGGATGCACATCTAGTATGAAGTTGACCATTTTGAGGGTTCACATACTTGGCTACAAATCACTGAGGAGGAGGAAGTTTTCAGGGCTCCTCACCTAAGCTGGGCCAACCAATGGGGTGGCTGCTGCAGATAGAATGCTATCTCTCCTTGATGTCTTTCTTTTGCCCACCAAACTCCTTTACCAAAAATGCAGTAGGCCTCTTGTAGCAAGAGAAACAGAAAACATTCATTCCTAAAGGGAGACTTTGCATGAACAGATGCAGCATCCTGCAGAGAAAGGCACCTTCCTGGACCATCAACAACTTGAGTTCATGTCTCTTGACTTCTGGCCACTGGTTTTCACACCCTGTCAGGAGCTGTGTGATTCTCAGGAGGCGCCAAAGAAGCACTTTTTGTACCCTACTAGCACAGACTTAGGAGGATGGACTGAGAGATGTGTAGTAGTTGTTAGATGTTGTCAAGTTGACTTGGACCACTGTACAATGGAATAGAACTGCCTGGTCTTGCACCCCCTGTGATCGGCTGTGAATTAGAACATTGTGAACCATAACATTTTCATTGGCTGATTTTCAGAAATAGATTCCCAAGCCTTTCTTCCTAGTCTATCTTGGGTTGCTTCAACTGAAACCTGTTTGATATCCTAGCAACACTCAAGCCTGTACTGTTGGCAGGTCATGCTTTACTCATTTTAAAAAATGAGTTTGTAAGGGAGCTCTGGTGGCCTAGTGGCAAGACGCTGCACTGCAATCCCAGAGGTATGCGGTTCAAATCCACCAGATACTCTGCTGGAGAAGGAGGGGGCAATCTCCTCCTGTACCAGTCAGATCTGATTTGACAGTACACGTAAATATAATACAATTTAAAAAAATGAGTTTGTGATTCAAGATGGTTAAGGTATTTGCCTGAGACCACATGGCCTTGTCTGCCCTTAACCCTGACCATGAAGGATTCTTTGCTCTCATGCTGGCCACCAGGGATGAGAGTGGATGGGACAATGACTGAGGCCAGAGAGAAGTGAAAAAAGGTAGACTGGGCAGTTGAGAATATGAGGGAGAGGCTGGAGTCCTATGTCCAGCCAGCCTCAGATCTGGAAGCTGATGGGTCGGGGAGAGTTCTCAGTTGCTTCCCCCCTCCCCTGTCATCCCTCATACAAAGGCCCCTCTCACACACATCCCTGTTAACTGGAATCTATGTCCACAGCATGTTGTCCAGCCTGAATGAATGGCTGTGGCAAGAGAAGTTCTGGCTGCCCACCAACTACACTTGGGCAGACCTGGAGGACCGGGATGGTGTGGTCTATGCCCACCCTCGAGACCTGCTGGCAGTCCTGCCAATGACACTGGTCCTGCTGGCCGTGCGCATGTCCTACGAGAGGTGAGTGTCCCCTCCACCGCAAACATGTGACTCCATCAGCTATGTACCTCCTGGAGAACCTGCCCCTGAACTCCTGCTTCCAGCCCCAGCACCACTGCCCTATGCTGGGCTCTGATTCCAGGTTTGTGGGAACACTAGAAGCTGGCCTCATTTTCTAACACCAAGTGGGGAGGGGGCAGGTGGAAGCCTGCTAATCTAAGCTCATTAAGCAAATGAACTCCTGCTGAAGCCTCCTGCCTATGTGCCTGGGGACACTCCTGCCTCCATCCCATCACTCCTCCATTCTGACTTCTTCAAAGCCTTCCTTCCAATCTCCAATCTGTAAGAAGGAGAGAGCAGAGGCTCCTGTACCCACCACTCTCCTCATCACCTCCACCTTCAGTCTCTTGTTGTAATGAGGTGTCTCTGAGTTCGCACTGGCTCACAGCCGCCATGTGTTCAGGAGACCCTGCCCAATCCTGCAGGACCCTTACCATTGCTGCTGCCTTGGAGCCCATTGTTGCAACCACTTTGTCAGTCCATCCTGTTAAGGGTCTTCTTCTTCCTCACTATTATACCAAGAATAACCAGCCAGGAACCTAGGAAAACATACATTGGATGTCCACTCAAGAAAACTGAAAGCTATTTTGTTATCTCCTATGCTTCTTCTCTTAGTTGTTTTAGAATGACGGATCCGTATACCTCAGCTGAAAGTTCATAAGTAAATATCACTCATTCATTGCTACCCACTTGGAACCAGCTTAGGCTGACACTCCCTCTGCTGAGTTTTCATTTCAGTGAGAAGTTGAGAATCCATCAGCAAAAACTTGGAAGAGGTGTGGTTATAGCTCTGTGACTTATGTCACAGAAACCCAGTGTGGGCAGCAGCTATGGTTGAATCAGACTTGATGGCAGTGAGCTTGAGATTTTTAAAATCACAGGAGGAGACTGTCCTTCTTTTCTCTTGAGGGGCCCCTGGTGGATTTGATCCTTCAGAGAGGTGCTGCGTTTGGGTGAGCAATGCAACGCCCTACAGGCTACACCACCAGAGCTCCCCATGTAAGTAAACAGACCAGTGCAATCAGGGCAATGCCTTCCCCAACTCTAGCAAAGGCTCTGTCCTGTGAACCCTTCCTTTGTGAAATGATAAAAAAAGAGGCTCATGCAGAGTAAGCACCTGCTGAACAGTAATGTTATTTGGACCTGGAAGAAGACAGAAATTCTTACCAGGGAAGCAAGCTATCCAGAGCAACTAGGTCTTTATGCAATTAATTTTAAAAAGAGAAAACTCAGTCTAACTCTTATAAAAATGTCTAGTAATTCAGGATTATAAGGTGAAAGGAAAAAGTTTTCAAAGCTTAAATTTTAACTCTGGAAGTGTAAAGCAATTAAAACTGGATTAGGCAAAGCAATTCATGGGCAGTTTTCCCCCTACTTTACTACCTCTGACAGTTTTGTTTGTTACTGCCAAAGTTTGCTTTCTGGTTCTCCTGAGAATTATGGTGGAATGATTAGTCACCATTGCATGTGAGTTGATTTTATTTGGCCTCCTGTTTACAAATACCTTGCCAGAAGGAGCATGGTGCTGTGAGCGCAGGAATTGTGGCAAGCTTTTGGAGTCGACTGCTTTTCCGGGCATGTGTTTGTTACATGCAGGTTTGCTCTGTCCCCAGGAGCGAGGCTAGCCAGCCTGGGCCTAGGGTTTGAGCCAGGAGGCAGCCTAAGCCCAAAGGCAGCTGGGAGAGGAAGCAGCCATGTTGTTCTGGTTGGCTCCTCCCAGGGTCTTGGAAGTTCTCGTTGCCAGAAGGAGCATGGTGGTGTGAGGGCAGGAATCTTGGCAAGCTTTTGGAATCGACTGCTTTTCCGGGCATGTGTTTGTTACGTGCAGGCCAGGAGGCAGCCTTAAGGCGTTGCTGTACATAGGTAACTCGTGGTTGCTGTGATGCTGAAGACTGTGACAGTGATGTGCCAAACGTGGTAATGGTCACCCATGATGGACAGTGTTGGCTGGAGCTTCCCGACTAAATCAAGCCTGGAAGCAGGAGCGGCATCCACTTCCGAAATGGCTTGCCTCCGGAAACTCTATGTACGAACAGTGCTCAGGCTGTTCATTCATAGGGTCGCTATGAGTCATCTACAACTCGATGGCACCAAACAACAACAACAAAATTTACAAATACATTTGATCACTAGTATGGGGCTAGAATCCAGGTTGCAAGTCTTCCGGAATATCTGGATTCTACAGAGGCTGGTTTTCTCATTCTGGTGACATAAAAGTGGACTCTCTTCAAGTGTTCAGATCTTTAGTTCATAGGCTTGCTATGAGTCGTCTATGAGACGGCACTTAACTACAGTAATGAGATCTCTGTTGGCCTAGTAGATAGAAAGTTATGTTACCAAGCCATAGGTGAGTGACATTAATCTGTGGCCCTCCTAGTTTTGTTTTTGGCTAAATATTCTTCTAAGTGGGATAGCACTGCACTGTCCATTTGTAACTTGTGGTTGCTGTGATGCTAAACCCTGTGACACTGATGTGTCATATTAGATAATGGGGGAGCTCTGGTGGCCGAGTGGCAAGAAGCTGCACTACAATCCCGGAGGTGGATGGTTCAAATCCACCAGATGCTCTGCTGGAGAAGGAGGGACAATTTCCTCCTGTACCGGTCAGATCTGATTTGATGGTACATGCACAAAACATAATTTTAAAAAATTAGATAATGGTTATCCATGGTGGACAGTGTTTGGTGGAGCTCCCCAATTAAAACAAACTTGGAAGCAGGAGTGGCATCCACTTCCGAAACTATATGAACTTGGAGAAACAATTAAAATTATACAAGCGTTCAGGTCTTTCATTTACAGGGTTGTTATCAGTAGTCTACCACTTAATAACAACAACAATGATCTTCACAGCGGATGGTCCCTCCTGATAACATTTCTCAGGAGCACTCTAACTGCTTCCAAGACAGATTAGTTTCTTTTTGCATTTGTTATTGTATGCCTCCTCAAGCCGACTACTAGATGACCCTCCAGTGGCTTTTCAGAGGCAATATCACTCAGGAGGAGATTGCCCATCCTTGTCCTGCAGAGAAACTGGTGGATTCAAACCCCAAGCCTTTGGGTTGGCAGCTGATTACCTTTCCACTAGGCAGTCTATGATATAGGCAATACTCATTGCCACCATCAAAATTCGAAGACATCCATTCTTCCTTGGCCTACTTACTTGTTGTTCAGCACTCACATGAATGTGAGGTGGCTGAAAACATCACAGCTGGGATCAGGCCCACTTTAGTCGCCAAGGCAACATCCTGGCTTTTGGCACTTTGAAAAGCACGTTGGAGCAGATTTTCCCTATATGAAATGACTCTTGATTAATGGGCTTCCATGGATGGTGAGTATAGACCCAAGTAAAAGGACATCCTTGACAAGCCCCGTCTTTTCTGTGTCTCTTGATATTGTTTACTGGCCCAGTTGTGAGGGTGTTTTTTCCTTGATGATGACATTCACTCATCCATTGTCGTTGTGTTTAAACGGACCCATAGCTGACCCTGCATTGGGTTTTTGCAGCTGTAAATCACACGGCAAGAGATTGTTTTCTTTCTTGTGCAGAGTAGCTTGTGGGTTTGATTTTCCAGAGAGAAGAAGCCTTTGGGTTAAGAAGGCAACTCCTATGGACTGTGCCCTAGTTTTTGTCATGTGCTGTCAAGTACAACTGTTAGCGACCCTGTGAACAATGAATCTGAACCCTGTCCTATCTTGTGTGATCGTCTTCATCTCGGACACACTGAAGCCCATTGCTAAGTTACTGTCTACCCACCTGGCTGAGGGTCTTCCTCTCTTTGGCCAACCCTCCACCTTCCCAAGCATGACGTCCTTCTCCAAAGAACATTCCCAATAGCAACATGCCCCAAACATCCGAAGCTTCATCATCTTTCTCTGCAGGAGGGACTGTGGCTGAACCATCTCCAACACATATCTGTTCTTTGGGCCATCCATGGGATAGTTAGTGCTTTCTCCCATGAATACCACAGCTCAAAGACATCAACCGTTCTTCTGTGATCCCTAGTCATAGTCCAGCTCTCAGCAATACAAGAAGTGACTGAAAACACCATGGCATGAATAAGGCATGCCTGAGTCCAACAGAATATGGACATTATCTTACAATATCATTAATATTGCATGAGAGCAAAATATTGCTGAAGATCATCCAAAAACGACTGGAACTGTATGCCACTGTTGCTGTTGTTGTCAGGTGCCATCAAGTCAAGTATGACTCACAGCGACCCTACGAACAGCCAACATGAGTGCAGCCCTGTCTTGTGCCATCCTCATTATCTCTGACGGAGCCCACTGCTGAAGTTACCATATCAGTCCATCGGTTTAGGGGTCCTGCTCTCCTTTACCGTCCATCTTTCTAAGCATGATGTCCCTTTCTCGGGAATAGCCATGCCTATATGTCCAAAGTGTGAAAGACCAACTGTCACCATTTGTGCCTCTGCCTACACTTTTCCCACGACATATCTGTTCTTTTCCCAGTCTCTTGGATATTCAGAGCTCTTCTTCCACTCCACAACTCAAAGACATCAATTCTTCTGTCATCCTTATTCATTTTCCAGCTCTCTGATGCAGTACATTGACAGGGAACTACTAGAAGTTCATGCTAGTTGTAGAAGAGGCCACAGCGCCAGGCATATTATTGCTGATGTCGGATGGATCTTGGCTGAAAGGAGAGAATACCAGAAGAGAGTCAATTTGTGCTTTATTGACTATGCAAAGGCATTTGACTGAGTCAGTCATAACAAATTATGGCCAACAGTGAGAAGAATGAGAATCCTAGAGCCCTTAACTGTGCTCATACAAAACCTATACCTAGATCAAGGAACTATTGCATAGACGGAGCAAGGGAACAGCACCTGGCTTAAAATCAAGGGAAAGGGATTGCTTTTTTTCTCCATACCTATTCAATCTGTATGCTGAGAAAATAATTCATGAAGCTGCATTCTTTTTTTAATTATTATTAAATT